GTTGAGGTATCCGAAGGCAGCATTCTGAATTGGAGTGAAATATTGATGGATACAAGTTTCACTATAAGACAGTGAAGGGCCCTATGAATACAGACCTGTCACTGTAAACACTGTGGGGACAGTGTGGATTCAGATTCACAGTCTGGGATAGTCTGGATAAAGACATGTCACTGTATAGCACTAAGGAGGGAAATGGACATAAGTAGTTATCGTATACACCTGTGGAACAGTATGGGACGAGGTTCTTCTCTGTTTTAGGATCACAATATAGTACTGGTGATATAACTCTGAACAACACTGTATTGCTGTACTGGTGGGTACAGGTCTCTCTACATTTAAAATTGCAAAACAGTACCAATGGGCATCAGTCTGTTGCTGTGTAATAATACTTCACAGTGCTGGGGATACAGATCTTTTACTGTACAACACCACAGTATGGTGAGTACAGATCTGTCTGTCACTGTGTAACACTTCAGTGCAGTGCTGGTGGATACAGGCCATTAACTATATAGCACTGTGTTGCAGTACTGCTGGGTCCAGGTCTGTCACTGTATAACACTGCAGTGCAGTACTGTTGGGAATGTGTCTTTCACTCTGTAACAGTACAATGCTGTACTGGTGTGAATAAATCTTTCACTGTATAACATTGCATTGTTGTACTGGTGGATATAGGCCTGTCATTGCATGATATGTGTAGATACAGGTCTGCCACTATAATTCTGCATTATTCTATTCGCAAGTACAGGTCTATCTCAGCATATGGGACTGTCACAATATAACTTGCAGCTGTGCTGGTGAATGCAAAGTTGTCACTGTAGAACTGCAGTACTAGTAGGTACAGGTGTGTTACTGTATGATATGCTGCTTTGCTGGTAGATATGGGTCTGACACTATACACATCACTGCAGTGCAGTACTTGTCGATACAGGTCTGTCACTGTATCATATGTTTCAGAATTCACGTATAGGTTGATCATTGTATAACACTACAGTGCAATACTGGTGGGTACAGGTCTGCCGCTGTATTAGGGCAGGATGTTAGTGGGTACAGATATATTGCTGTTTAACATTAAGTTGCAAATCTATCATGAGTGATTATGATGCTGTTGGAAACAACAAGGTGCAGAGCTGGATGAACACAGCAGGCCAAGCAGCATCATAGGAGCAGAAAGGCTGATGTTTCGGGCCTAGACCCTTCATCAGACCCTTTTCTGATGAAGGGTCT